TTTTTATTTTATAATTTATTATAATCTAGTTTCTAATATCTATTATAATATTTATTATATCTATTATTTAATATTTTTTATTAAAATATCTTTCTGTCATGTGATTTTTTAAAAAATTATTGAAATAAGAATGTATCTATGTTACTTGAATTCAGTGGTTATAATGTTTCTAAATATAAGTGAAGAACTTCAGGAATGTTATATATACTCAAAGTGTGTGTTTATACAGATTAAATTATTTTGTTATAAATTAAAATGTATTAATTTAATTTAAATATGTATAATTTATTATAACAAAAATTCATGTATTTAAAAAGCACACGTGAGTGAATTTTACTTCATTACTTAAAAAAAATAAGAATGGCACATGGTAAAAAATCATTTCGTGGAAAAAGAAAATTTCATCGTTATAATGATCGACCGAAGCCAAAGAAAAATAAATTTAACTTAAAAGATGCAACATATATCAAAGATCGCGATATTAAAAATAGGGAAATTGAAAAACGTAGACAAATATTAGAAGAAGAAAAACTGCAACAACAATCGGAAATAGAAAGTAATAGTTCTGGTGATGAACAAGAAAATCCATTACAAAATTTATTATCCTCATTTTCAAATACTACTAATTTACAAGTGACTGCTATTGATTCTAATTCAGAAAGTGATATATGTACTGATAATGATGATACTGATATTGGTAAGAATGATAAAGAAACCAATAATTTAACAATACAATTCGATAATATAAATGAGAATGTAGATTTAACAAGTGATAATGAAGATATTAAAATAAAAGAGGTTGATGAAGAAGATCCAGAAACAGCTCAAGAAGATGCTGGTTATTTAAAAGATCCATTTTCAATTCATCTTCATGATGATTTAAGTGATAAACTTTATGAAGCAGTTTCTAGTATTCCACAAATTATGGAAACACAAAAGATAACTTGGCCTGTTTTAGGCAATCTTATATGTGAAATATTAAAATCTTTTGAAGATTCAAAAGACACAAAAAAATCTAATATTTCTGTTTTAGAACATAAACAATTTGCTAAATGTGGTACTATCCCTCAATTAATTGATAATATAGAATGGAATAAATTATATATAAAATCTCAAATTCATGGTAATCTTATAAAAGCAAATTATTCAAATATAAAAGATAATATAAATTCATCTGTTATGACTCCTTTGCAAAAGGAACTATTTTCAATAATAAATAATTATCAAGATTTATATTATCCTGAAAGAACATTTTCTAATGCTGATCAAATAAGATTTGTGTATTGTTTGCATACAATCAATCATGTGTTAAAAACACGTACAAAAGTATTGCATCATAATGCAAAAATAAAATCAAAATCTACAAATATAGCAGAAATTCCAGATGAATATAGAGATCAAGGTTTGGTGAGACCAAAAGTTTTAATAATAGTTCCTTTTAGACATTCATGTTTAAAAATTGTTGAATTATTAATATCTATTTTAATTGGAGAAGATGAAGGTGGTTCTGTAATGAATAAGAAGAGATTTATGGAAGATTTTAGTGGTGATAAATTAATAATGCCAAAAAGAAATCCAAAACCTGAAGATTATGAATTGACATTTCAAGGGAATACAGATGATACATTCAAAATAGGAATTGCTATTACAAGAAAAACCTTAAAATTATATTCAGAATTTTATTCTTCTGATATAATAATTTCATCTCTATTAGGTTTAAGAATATTAATAGGTGCAGAAGGTGAAGCAGATAGAGATTATGATTTCTTGGCATCAATAGAATTATTAATTCTTGATCAAGCAGAATTATTTTTAATGCAAAATTGGGATCATATGATACATATATTAAATCATTTACATTTACAACCTAAGGATTCTCATGGGACAGATTTTTCTAGAGTAAGAAGTTGGTGTGTAAATGGATGGACTAAATACTACAGACAGACATTAATATTTTCAAGTATTCATGTGCCTGAAATTTATGGAATATTTAATAAGAAATGTTACAATTATGCAGGAAAAATAAAAGTAATAAATTCTATTTCTTCTGGATCTATTTGTCAAATAGCTATGCAGATTCCACAAGTATTTCACAAATTTGAAACTTTAAGTCATTCTCATGCCTTAGAATATAGAATGGAATTCTTTATAACAAAAATACTTCCTCAGTATAAGGATAGAATTATGAATCATTCACTGATTTTTATACCATCTTACTTTGATTTTGTAAAATTACGTAATTATTTCAAAAAAGAAGAATATAGTTTTGTACAAATTTGTGAATATTCCAAAGATGCAAAAGTAGCAAGAGCAAGAGATATGTTCTTTCACAGTGATGCACATTTCCTTCTATATTCAGAACGATTTCATTTTTTTCGGAGAATAAGAGTAAAAGGTATAAGACATATTATATTTTATGCACCACCAATTTTTCCTCAATTTTACACAGAAATGTGCAATTTAATGCAAGAAGCTAATCAAAATCCACGTTCAGGGTCTGAAAGTAATATGACAGTTACTGTTTTATATTGTAAATATGATATTATGCAATTATCTGCAATTGTGGGTACTCAAAGAGCCAATCAAATGCTTGGTTCAGAAAAATCTATTCACATGATTATGACTGGTGAATAGGGAAAAAAAAAAATATATTATAAATATTTTATGTAATTATGTAACAACTTTATGTAATTATTTTAATGTCAATTGTATATTATCACTCTTGATGTTATTAAATGTATAAAAATTTTGTATTGCAGTTTATATTATTAATAATGAAAAATATTTTGTTTAATTTCTACTATTTTATTTAATTTTTTACTAATATATAATTTAAAAATAAATTAAAGGAAAAATATAAAATGATTTTGTTCATTTTTAAAATTTTATCATCCAATTATTCAATTTTTCAGTAACAAAATTATTTCAATAAATAATTATAATTCGATTTTCATCTCTG